GTGATGGGCATTGAGGGGGCAGAGGACTGGGTCAGCAGGGCGGGCCACTGGCAGTGCAAGGGGGTTGTGGGTCAGGAGCGAGGGGCACCACCAGGGATGGGGGGGCTGTGACTTGGGAATGAGGGGCACCAGCATGGTCCAAGGGGGCAGGGTACTACAGTTTGGGAGTGAGGGGCACTGACAGAGCTGGGGTCTGTGGGTTGGGAGTGAAGGGCAGCAGCAGGGCTGGGGGGGCTGTGGCTTGGGAGTGAGGGGCAACAGAATGGGCAGGGACAGGGTACCAGCATATCACTGCCTCCTCCCTCCCTACCTCCCCCGCCAGTCATATACATGTCTATCTGGCAAGTGTCTTCTTTTTTGGAACTGGAAATATGGTAACCCTAGCTTTGACCCCAGGTAGGGGCTGGAGCCCAAGCCACAACACCTGCCTACCCCCACACCACCCTTATACTCAATTCTAAGATGAGGGGCTATTTCTGCCATGTTAAAAGGCATTGTCTTAGAATCAAGTAAATACAGTACTTCTGCGAGTCTTGAATTAAAGACCCCTGAAGTCATTTTGAATCTTCCTGTTGACTGCAGCGGACTTTGATTCAAACCTATACTACATCAGTATGAAAGCCAAACCATTTTAAAGGACTGAGCTAAGGGCTTATTTTGCTTCCCTATAAATTATATAGCTGACACAAGCAGTTTGTAGTGTTTTTGAAAACCAAAATCAAGGGCTCCTTATTCGGTATTCTGATACATGCAGAGTGTTAAAATGACACTGTCACTAACTTCCACAGTTAGGTTTATAATGTTATAATGCAGTAATGTTGCAATGCATTATAGTCTTATTGGATTTTTATTAGTAATAGTTTTTTGATGCAGATGAAACTTTACATTTAATGTTAGTTGTACAGAAAGGTTATATGTTGCACTATTTTAGTATTTTGTATGACAAACTGGACTCGAGTGCAGGTTTTCTCTAGACAACATAAAATGTATTTTATGCAGGATTTTTACATGGACTTTTTACAGTGCAGTCGTCCTACTGTATGTTAATTTAAGTAAAGCACTCTTTCATTTTTGGACTTGTGAGAAACAGATGTTATTTACAAGGAGCAGATGGACAACCCACATACACTGGGATTAATAAATTGTTGCTTTACATCACAGTGCTCAAAATAGCCCTAATTTTTTACTAAGTGTTTTTTAATGGATAAAGCTAAATACCTAAAATGCAAACATAACAAATTAATGTAAAATCACACTAAGAAATGTCCCCACCTCCAAGTTCTTGCCAGTGGATATATAACATGGTTTCTAACTTTAGGAAAAGAAATACATTATCCTTCCCATTGTTGGCAAATTACTGCTCATCTTATTTATAAAATGGTTCTGTTCACCTAGGGGTGTAGACAGAAGTGTAGCTCCTCACTGTAACCAAGAACACTTGGCAGGAAACATTCTGAGTTGCAATGATCCCCCAGACCAAACAACAGTTCACTGTTGGTTGCAGGGGGAGGGGAATCTAGCTGCTGGCTGCTGGCCTGCAGCCAGTTTTCTCTAGTAACAGGCCCTCCTCCCTACCAGCCCCAGCTGTTTTCAGAATGGGAGTGGTGGAAAGGGAGCAGAAGGAGCTCATTCTAGAGGTTCCCTACCCTAACTTGTGCTGGAGGGTGGGATGGGTGAATTGGAGCCTCTCACCTCGCGGGAGGCTCCAATACACCCACCACACCTCCCAGTGCCAGCTGAAAACCCCCATACCAAACTCAGTCCACTCCCTTTCTCCACTCACATTCTGAAAAGTGACAGTCTGGCTGGCAGGCAGGCAGACAGAAGTTACAGAATACACTGTTTTGAAACATCTTCATCTGATCCCTCATGCAGTGAGGGTTCAGATTTTTGCCCAATCAGCCGTTTTGGGATTTGTCTGCAGCCATGTACTTGTATTTGGTCACAGCTATAGACCACTTTGTGGCTAGATTGGGTGAAAATTGTCACTTTTGTCTGTGCCCTAGGATAGTGACTGGTACTTTACTGAACACGAGTTAGGTCTGAAAACCTGCTCCTAAATTATTCAGGTCTGATTTCCCTTTTGTTTACATTGGTAGAATAGCTAGAAAATAAAACAGAAGACAAGGGTAAGCCCTCTGAAAAATAAAAAGTAATTCAGCTGAAAGTCTTGATCCACACCACTCAGATAAAACTTATTAGGCTCTGGCCCTACAAAAATTTGCACAAGTTAATAGGAACTACTTTCTAGCATATGCAGTTCAGCATATGCATTTATCTTAACAGCATCTGGTCCTTGGGGTGAGATTTTCAAAAGTGCTCGGCTTTACTTTGTTCCCATCCCACTGAAGATTATTTAGCATTGAACACTTTGTGAAAACCAAACTTTAAAATGTCTTTATTTGTGATTTTGTTATTCTAAGGCAATTAATATAGGACTGATTCTGTAATCACTAGTACCTGCTTTTTAATAGTGTGGCTATTCTGAAGTCGGTAGGGTTACCATACCTAAAACATTTTTAGGTAGATTTTACTATCCAATAAATATTGGACACGTTGTTGCTTCCTACTAGCATAACTCTCCTGACTTAGGTAAACCCTCCAACAAAAAATTGTACCATGCATTTGAAATAACAGTTTTGTACATCTATGTGGTGTGCTAGCTCTTCCCACCTCCCCCCTTGTTTGGTGAGTCACTCACATTGTTGAATCACAGTTACCTTCAAATTCCATGAAAAAATGAAAAGCATTTTGTAAATAGATTTTATTATCCAGTAAATAGTGGACAGAAAAATCAAGGATATGCTGATGTTAGAACATTTTTTTAATCAGTATTTCAGGCAAGATTCTGAATTCTCAGCATGTCATGGTTTAATTTTGATTTTTTTAAAGTTTGATATTAGTATGTTCTTGAAGGTAAATTGTGTTCTCCCTCCATAGTGTGTGCAATTCACCAAGCAAAAGCAGGAGGGAAACTAGAGTAATACAAAATTGTACAAAGCTGTTATTGAAAATGCGAAATGTGATAATTTTGCTGGTGACATTGACAGAAATGCAAGAGAAAAGCATTCATTTTCCAGGCTAGTACAGTATATCTGTTATCTACAGTATGTTGCATTGGTTTGCAAGTGCTGTTGGACTTTGAATGATACCATGTTTTCTTTTGACATTTTATTCCATTTCAGAACCACTCCCAGCTTTCTAACATAAGAAAATATCCTTTAAAAATTCTCCCATTTATTTCAGCAAGAGGTGGTTCAGGTATATATGTAAATAGATCCCTTCTCTTCCTGCTTTAAAAGTCTTTAAGATAGTAGGTCCTGTCCTGAACTGCCCAAAATATAAAGTATATGAATTCAACCTTCACCTGTGAGGAAGAATGTGTTCGTGTGAATGAAATCCCCAAATATACAGTTCTGTTAGATGGAGGCTCCATTTCATAAATAATTTTAAGATTTCAGTGTGAATTTATCGTGTGTCAAAGCAAAAAAATAACAATATTTCCTCTATGAAGAGATAGCTTAAGAAAATATTTGGGGAGTATAGAAATGATTCATTTTTTTTAACTCTTTCATTTTATGGTATGGTCCCTGCCACTAAGTGTCTGTGGCTAATAGAGGCCATCTTTGTATAGCTGGCAAATACTTCCTTGCCATCCCCATAGACTTCAGTGACAAAGCATCATTTATACTGTGTTAAACATGCTGGTTATTTTCGGCAGACTTGTCTGTTCACACCTCATTACACAATGATTACCTTACAGACGCATGAGTTATACACTGGTAATGCCCTGGTGATTGAATCAGTATGTTGTTTGTACCTCATCAAGGAGCAATTGCAGTGGCTATTTAAACCATACTTCCAGGAAAAAAATAAAACTTTTTGTAGAGTTCTTTGCTGGAAATAAGCAAGAAAAGTTGCAAGTAATAGTTTTAGTGCTTCAAGTTGCATATGTGACTTTTTACATTGGCTTTTTTTAATGTGTTACTTTACTGTGGTACAATATTTTGCTTAGTAGCAATTTAGAGGTATTTAGAATGTCAGGATAACGTCTGAGATGTTCTGCATATTTCGGATATCCATCTCAGAGTGGGTATTTAACATTAACCCACATGCCTGCTATAACAGGTAGGGGCTTCACAGAATAACTGTAAAATCTCCCACCCTAAATGCCCAATGAAATAACACTTGGTTTTGAAAAATGTTCCGCTTGTTGTCTGGGGAATGTTTTTTATTTCCATCTCCGAATCTTCTCCCATATGTTGTTTGGTACCTTTACTTAAATCTGTTCTGTTTTTATTTAACTACATTTTTGTTAGCACATAGGTAGAAACCTTTATGATTCTTAATCATATATATAAAATAGTTACGCCAACATTTACGCATAAGAATAATATATATTTTAACCTCTAAAATGGTGAATGAATTGTGTAATAAAACCATTTCTCTTTGTAATGCCAAGTTCACAAACATTATGGCACTGATAGTTCTGGGGTGCCAGCAGTGGCTACAGCTGAACTTATGGTGAATGTGGTTTGATTATAAATGCAAACAAGCCAAGTCTAAAATAATGTGGTTGTAATGGAAATCAGCAATAGGTATATTATTTTAACACAAGCAAACCCAGAGGGCTCAGTTTTTACAACCTCTACTCAAACAAATAATGTCTAATTGCAAGAATAGCCCTGCCGATTTCAATGTTAGGATTCATGAGTAAAATTTGGAGCAAGCCATAGGCCCCTTAAATTTATGCACTTGGGCAGTTCTGTTGAATTCAGTACGGCCATTCATATACTCAGAATTAAGCACTGACATAAATATTTTTAGTATAGGAAAGTTCATTCCCCTAAAGCAATTCTTCTTATGGATGAAAGGGCAGATATTTATAATTGCTTGCATTTTACATGAAATGATTTTTTTAAAAGCACTGATAAATAACTAGCATGATAAGTTCTATGGATATGTTGGATGACTTCCTTTGTTGTTTTCTATTTTTACAGCAACTACAGTGCATTATTAGGAGTGTGGATCTATGGCTTTTTTGTGTTGGTCCTGCTGGTACTGGACCTTTTATATTACTCTTCGATGAACTATGATATTTGCAAATTTTACCTGGCAAGGTGGGGAATCCAGGGAAAGTGGATGACGCAGGGACAGAGCCGATGGATTAACCCTGCTCAAGATACAAGCCAAGTACAGACACAGACACAGCCTCAGCCTCCACTTCAGCCACAGCCTCAGACGTCACAGGCAGTACATACTATAAAAGGAGATGCTTTAAACCCACCACTGATGTCTTTTCAGAGTACATCTGCCTGGTAAGTTAAGATACATTGTGGCCTTTCCCCCTCACCCTCATATTATTGTGACGTGTAGAGGCACCCACTAATTATCATGTACAACAATGAATATATTTTCATTTCTAAAGGAACATACACTCAAAGAGTTTGGTGTCACGTCAGAATGGAAAACCATTTTAATTTGCAAGGATTGATTACATTACTATCAGAAATTTTGAGCTGTCCTATCTTGTCAGACCTATGAGTATAGTTGTATATTACAATGTGGTGTACACATGTTCCTCAGGATTTCAAGAGGAAATGAGGTAGATCAGGTTATATTTAAAAGCTTTCTGCCGTGTTTCATGCAAGTACAATAAGTCATTTAAATACCTACGGTTCTACTGGAGCTAATATTTATAAAGTATTATGCTGAGAAATTTTGCTTTGACATCAGGCACCAGGGAAAATGTTTGTCAATAGCTTTATCTTTCTGCATAGAGGCAGCCAGACTTAGGGAACAATAAAAGGATGGAGAGGACCTCTGCAAACTGCCTAGGAAGTGAGGAAACTAAGACCCAAGGAGTTGGGACCAAATGAACTTGTGCTACAGAAGCCTACATAGAAGACTTACCATTTTACAGTCTGCTCATTTGGCCAGCCAAAAAATTCTGTTTGGGAGCTCCTGAACCAGAATGTTTCAAACCAGACCCAAAGTCCTGAGCTTGACCAGGAGTTTGCCCAGGAACTGGCTGAGGCAGCTTGCTCCAGGACCATGGTTGTCATGGGTGACTTCAATTACCCAGACATCTCATGGGAGGATCGCTCAGCAAAATCTGAGCGGTCGCAGAGCTTCCTCTCGTGCGTGGATGACCTCTACCTGACTCAAGAAGTCTATGGGCCAACGAGAGGCAAAGCGCTGCTCGACCTGGTACTGGCTACTGGGGATGACCTAGTTGGCGACCTAGTGATCAATGGGAAGCTGGGTGACAGCGACCACGAGCTGATCACCTTCACCATCTGCCGAAAAGCTGGCAAGTCGGTCAGCAACGCGCAAGTCCTTGACTTCAGGAAAGCCGACTTTGACAAGCTCAGGAGGCTTGTCAGCGAGGCCCTAAGGGACCGTGACCACAGGGAGAGGGGAGTTCAAGAGGAGTGGTTGCTCCTCAAGGGAGCGATCCTCAATGCACAAACTAAGTCTATTCCATCTCGGAGGAAAGGCAGCAAGAGGGCACAGCAGCCCCCCTGGCTCTCCAGGGACCTAGCAGATCTCCTGAGGCTAAAAAGAAAGGCCTACAAAGGATGGAGGATGGGAGTCACCTCCAAGGAGGATTATTCTGCACTGGTCCGGTCCTGTAGGGAGCAGACCAGGAAAGCCAAGGCTGCAACTGAACTCCAGCTAGCTTTGAGCATCAAGGACAATAAGAAGTCCTTTTTCAGATATGTGGGGAGCCGGAGGAAAAGCAGGGGCAACATTGGACCCCTGCTGACCCAGATGGGGCAACTGACAACTGATGCCCAGGAAAAAGCCAACCTATTAAATAGGTACTTTGCGTCAGTCTTTCATCAGTCCCATGGGACGCCCATGCCCGCTACAGGGCCGGGAAGTCCAGGTGAGGGTGATCCCCTGCCCTCCCTTAATGCTGACTTTCTGAAGGAACATCTTGAGAAGCTGGATACCTTCAAGTCAGCTGGCCCTGACAATCTCCCCCCCAGGGTACTCAAGGAGCTGGCGAGCATCATAGCCCAGCCTCTAGCACGGATCTTTGAAAACTCTTGGCGCTCTGGTGTAGTGCCCGAAGACTGGAAGAAGGCCAATGTGGTGCCTATCTTCAAGAAAGGGAGGAAAGTGGATCCGGCTAACTATAGGCCCATCAGCCTGACTTCTATCCCGGGGAAGATCTTAGAAAAGTTTATTAAAGAGGCCATCCTTAATGGACTGGCCGACGCCAACATCTTAAGGGATAGCCAGCACGGGTTTGTTGCGGGTAGGTCTTGCTTGACCAATCTCATTTCCTTCTACGACCAGGTGACCTATCACCTGGACAAGGGAGAAGAGATTGATGTCATATATCTTGACTTCAAAAAAGCCTTCGATCTGGTGTCCCATGATCGCCTCTTGGAGAAACTGGCCAATTGTCGCCTTGGGTCCTCCACGATCCACTGGCTGGAAAATTGGCTCCGGGGTCGGACCCAGAGGGTAGTAATCGATGGAAGTCACTCATCGTGGTGTCCTGTGACCAGTGGGGTCCCCCAAGGCTCTGTCCTTGGACCCATACTGTTCAACATCTTCATTAATGATGTGGACACTGGAGTCAGAAGCGATCAGAACTGGCCAAGTTCGCCGATGACACCAAACTTTGGGGCAAAGCATCCACACCAGAAGACAGGCAGGTTATCCAGGCTGACCTGGACAGGCTCAGCAAGTGGGCGGACGAGAATCTGATGGTGTTCAACGCCGATAAATGCAAGGTTCTCCACCTTGGTGACCAAAATGCTGGCTTGCATCCATAGATGCTTCTCAAGCAAATCCTGGGACGTCATTCTCCCCCTGTACTCGGCCTTAGTGAGGCCGCAGCTGGAGTACTGTGTCCAGTTTTGGGCTCCACAATTCAAAAAGGATGTGGAGAAGCTTGAGAGAGTCCAGAGAAGAGCCACGCGCATGATCAGAAGTCAGGGAAGCAGACCCTACGATGACAGGCTGAGAGCCCTGGGGCTCTTTAGCCTGAAAAAGCACAGGCTCAGGGGTGATCTGATGGCCACCTACAAGTTTATCAGGGGTGACCACCAGCATCTGGGGGAACGTTTGTTCACCAGAGCGCCCCAAGGGATGACGAGGTCAAATGGTCACAAACTACTTCAAGATCGTTTCAGGCTGGACATAAGGAAGAACTTCTTTACTGTCTGAGCCCCCAAGGTCTGGAACAGCCTGCCACCGGAGGTGGTTCAAGCGCCTTCATTGAACACCTTCAAGATGAAACTGGATCCTTATCTTGCTGGGATCCTATGACCCCAGCTGACTTCCTGCCCTTTGGGCGGGGGGCTGGACTCGGTGATCTTTCGAGGTCCCTTCCAGCCCTGATGTCTATGAAATCTATGAAATCTATGTTTCTGTAAGTGCCCCTTCCAGAAAATAGTGCCACTCCCCTCTTAAACAGTTGCATTCTTTTACCTCTCATTCCAAATGAGCATTAAACAGTTTAAAAATGAAATCTTGTGGGAAGGAGTTTCCACTTACTAGCCAGCCTTAGAAATGAGCTCTGATGAAGGAACACTGAGTTTAGGTAATTTGAAAGATTGACAGAGGAAAGGTGCCTAAGAATGAGCTAACATCAAAAAAGTACAATTTAACAAATGAGAGAGAGAGAGTCCTAAGGAGCAGGCAGATCACGTGGCGCAAGCAGGAGAAATTGAATACAGGAAGAATGCTACTGGAGATGGAGAAATGTTAAATCAAGGTATAAAGCAAGGTCTTAGGAGTAGTAGGGACAAGGAATGACTAGTATATTTTAGAGCTGCTGTAGCAGGATTATCACTGAGTTTTGGCAAAAGTAAGTGCTTGTACATTAACAAGTTCACAGGCAGGCTCTACATTTGCACAGCACCTAAGCAATGAGATCTTGATACTGACTGGATACAACCATAATATAAATGAGACTGCGAGTGTGATTTCTGTTGTGATTTTCCTAAGTAGCATATATTTGTTTTAAAGAAAATCCTGGAATATGCCTGTATTTTCATAATACACCTTCACCTTTATTTGTGACCATGGATTAGGAATAATAGAAGTAGGTGAGCAGCTGGAATAGGAGTCAGAAATAATGCATTCAGTTCAGGTACTACTTATATACCTTAATAACATGACACATTTCAGCACTTACCCAAGTCATTTTACTTTTCTTGCTCACATTCTAGAGTTATTTTATCTTTTCATTAGGAAAATAAAAATGGTGTCCTAACATTTTTCTGTCTCAGACCAGATCCAACCAATCTTCATAACTGGCCTCTAGATTATAATAGACTGCAACTCCAAAAATTCCTGAACACTTAGGTTTCCAAAATCCAGAGAGGAGGAGAGCCATTTTTTTCTTCTTGAGATGGCTTTTCAGTGCATTACAGAAGCCCTCATGACCATTGTTTTCCCACAATTTTACCAGAGTGCTCTAACATAGCAACAGCTAGAAGAGGGATTAACAGTTCCTACTCCATAGAATTAATATGAGGTTTGAATGCACCAAGGGACAGAATTCTGATTTGTAAGCAAGGAGAGTTTCTTCATCCTTCATACTGTCTGCAAACTGCTGGGAAAAATAAAACTAACAACAAAAACAATAAGAAAATTTTATTTCCTAAAAGGCTATTGTCTACTTTGATTTCCAGCCTCTTTTTTATGTTTTCCCTGCAGTTTCAATTGGATATGGTAGTGTTCTTCACATGCTGTTCTAAACTGTTGGTTAGTGTTGTGCATGTTTAAACAGCTGGCTTTTCACTTCAGTACCAGTAGAAGTGATTTCTGTGTATACATATTTTCAATGAAAACTCTGTGTTAATGAAATATTTAGGTTGTACAGTCAGTATCACAGTCAGGAAATGCTGCAGTTCCTATAGCACTTTTGCTTGGGGTTTTTTATTTTGTTTTGTTTTGATATATAATGTATAACACAAATTGTAATGGACCTAGACGCTTACTAGAAAAAAATTGGACAAAATAAAGTTGCTATGGGAAACAACCACTTTCATGATTTTTTCTCTTCTTTATTTGTGATATTAAGATGCAACTTTTAATGTAGTATTAATACAGTTTCCTTTAAATTTATTTTTCTCCATTTCCTAAAAGAAAGATAAAGCATGTGTGTTGAATTGTATTTTAATATTTAAGCATTTAATTTTAGCTCATGTGTCCTACTTAAAAGAAGCATATTTTAATAATTATTGATCTCTGTTCCTAAGCTAATATAAACTGGTATAGCTCCTGGCCCATTTTCACATTGGATCCACACTGTAAACAGTTTCAGGGCAGGGACTGTCTTTTTGTTCTG